GAAACGGGTCCCGAGGGACACGGGTGCTCATCCCTGCAGTCTCCCCCACGACGAGGCGCCAGGAGGTCGAAAATGCAGAAGAACGTCAGGGCAGCACTCCCTCAAAGGACGCCCTGTCCTTCATGGCGAGGGGAGGACGCCTCAGAGCGAAGCCGCCCGCGTCGATGGCGTGGACGAAGCAGTCCAGCCGCGCCGCCAGCAGGGCCCCCAGGGGCGGCCGCAGGCCCACGACCTTGGCGCGGGCGCCAACAGATCAGCGCCAGCCGGAAGGGCCCGACCCCCCCAGAGAGTCACCTCTTGGGGGCTCGGGGATCTACGGACTCGCGTCACTCCAAGCCCAGGTCAGTCGGGCCTTGCATGGATCCTGCAGGATTCTGCACTCAAGCCCGGGTCAGTGCACCCCTGGCCCTGCTGCAGGATCCCGCAAGATTCGGCGAAACCGACTGACCTCCGCTGGCATCCACCCCTGCCTCTCGAGCCCCGAGGGGCCCCTCGCTCCCTTCCGCCGGCTTCCGCCCGCGGAGCTGCCATCGTCTCGCCTCCGCCGAGGACGCCTCCTCCTCCTCTCCTCCTCCTCCTCCTCCTCCTCCTCCCCCTCCTCCTTCTCCTCCTCCTCCTCCTCCCCTCCGCCTCCTCCTCGTCTCCTCCCCCTCCCCCCTCCTCCTTCCTCCTCCTCCTCCCTCCTCCGCCTCCTCCTCGTCCTCCTTCCCCCTCCTCCTCCCTCCTGCCTCCTCCTCCTCCTCCTCCTCCTCCTCCTCCTCCTCTCCTCCTCCTCCTCCTCCTCCCCCTCCTTCTCCTTCTCCTTCTCCTCCTCCCTCCCTCCTCCTCCTCCTCCTCCTCCTCCTCTTCCTCCTCCTCCTCCTCCTCCTCCTCCTCCTCCTCCTCTTCCTCCTCCTCCTCGTCCTCCTCCTCCTCCTCCACAATTACTCAATATGAATACTACTTTCCCTCTTGCCCTGATGACGTCTTGGGAGTAGCCGCCCCCCCCCCCGCGTACTGTTTTTTACACACAGGTTTCCCCGGAGTTGGGTTTTCGCCTGCATTTTTTCCACAATGCTGCTCTCGCTGAGGCGCCGGCCTCATTTTCGGGCCCCGCTCGTTCCGAATCGTGCTCCCGCTGCAGCGCTGGCCTCATTTCCGTGCTTCCGCTCGTTCCGAATCGTGCTCCCGCTGCAGCGCTGGCCTCATTTCCGCGCTTCCGCTCGTTCCGACTCGCGCTCGTTCCGGAATCGTGCTCCCGCTGCAGCGCTGCCCCATTTCCGCGCTTTTTCCGCTCGTTTCGACTCGTGCTCCCCTCCTTCCCCTCCCCGCTGCAAAGCGCTGGCGTCCATTTCCCGTGCCATGCCACGGCATGCAATGCAAATGCTATGGTTGAATGCTACCTTTGCGGTGCTACTTCTATCTAACGACATACCATGCCGTGCTCTACCATGCATCGCGTACCCTCTCGCGATCATTGCCCTGCTCGACATCCGACTGTGCGAATAGACAGGATATCTACGCCATGGTAACGGATGGGGGATGGGAAGGATGGGTAGGACGTCAGACATGACGCGAGCGCACCGCTTGTCCTCCTCCCCTCCCCCCTCCTCCTCCTTCCTTCTCCTCCCCCTCCTCCTCCTCTCCTCCTCCTCCCTCCTCCCTCCTCCTCCTCGCTCCCCTCCTCCTCCTCCTCCTCCTCCTCCTCCTCCTCCTCCTCCTCCTCCTCCTCCCCCTCCCCCTCCCCCTCCCCCATCCGAGGCGTCGGCCTCTCCCCGCCCCTTCCGCCCGCTGCCGCGCCGCGGAGCTGCCGCCGCCTCGCCTCCCGCCGAGGACGCGGCGTCGGCCTCCCCGCGCCGATGAGCGAGGCCCCGCCTCCGGGGCGCCCCCTCGCGCGCGGGGGGGGGGCCTCTCGACGAGAGAGGCGGCGCCTGCCTCGCGGGCCATCGCGCCCCCCTCCTTGAGCATCGTTTGCCCGATCCCCATCCCCGGCGGCGTGGCCTGGGCCCCGCTGGCCAATTTTTGCCCCCCCTGGGATGGGGATGCGGGCCGTTCCCCTCGGGCCTCGAGGGGCGCATCCCGAAATCGGGGGGGCCAACTTGGTGGGGGTTTCGAAGGGGATGGGGACGGGGAGAGGAGGAGGAGGAGGAGGAGGAGGAGGAGGAGGAGGAGGAGGAGGAGGAGGAGGAGGAGGAGGAGGAGGAGGAGGAGCAGGGGAGGAAGGAGGAAGGGAGTAGGAGGAGGGAGTGGGTCGGGGGGGTGGCTGACCTCCTGCCGCTCTCCTGCCGCCCTCCTCCTGCGCGCGCTCTACAACTGTCCCGCGGGAGCGCCCCGCCCCCGCGCACTAGCGCAAGGTGTGAGAGGCACAATTCCACAAAGCACGGCAGGAGCTCTCGATCCGCACGAGGACCTTTACTCTTTCTTCTTCCACAGGAGACATCACAGGATCCGGCCGCTGGGAGGCCCCCACCCTCCCGAAAATCCTCGTCGACCGTGGTTGATTATCTAGGAATGAAAACCTACACCCTGCGAAATGCTTAAGAAATCATGGGTTAAGAAATTCATAGTCTCAGAACTTTAATAAAAAAACCCAACATGTCTATCAAACTCTTAAGATTTACATTGAAACGTTAAGAATAATCGAGAGTCTGGCCGAAAACTTAAGTTTTCTTAAGCATCGCCTAAGGTGTAGGTTCGTTATCTTAAGATGGTACCCCATGGATTATTGTCCTGCAAATGGATCGGGCTCAGCCCCCCCGGCCGAATTGTTATCTTTCTGGAATAATCAACCTGAATTCAAGATTCCAACATTATGGGCCCAAGTTTGTTTCAGTCTGGAACGTACTCTCAAACGGCGAGCCCCCAAGCTCAATCATTCGCATTCCAGAAGAACTAACCCGGGGTCAATACAGTGGGGCGCGGCCACAAGAAACCCTCGCGAGAAACCGAACCCTGAAAAACCGCAAAGTTTCTTGCCCAGGGTTTGGGTTTCTTAACCGACGGCGTCACACGGAGAAACCCATTGCGCCCTGGGCCGAGCAGTTTCTTAGCGGGCCGCGCTCATAGAATACGCCAGCACGGCTTGGGAAGAAACCCGTGGCGATCTTGGATGTAAACTACATAGGGTTGCGGCAGCGTTCCCGTGGCCAACGGAAATCATCGGACGCCCCGCGAAAGCCCCTAACATATTCTCTTGTCGCTGGGGGGTTCTTCGGTAGCGGGCCGTTTAATTGCCCGAAGTGCAACTGGGAAGAAACCCAGGGGATCCTGGACACGAGAATTTCTTGGCAACCGCGAGGACCCATCGCGAAGCACGCGGCGCGAAGAAACCAAAGGCAGCCTGACGAAAAACATCATGTTTCTTGATGCGCGCCCCCACTGTATTTCGGGAACGTTACGAATCCGGGTGTATTATCTCCGGGAGATAATGCACCTGGGTCAATATTCCGACATGAAAAGCCTGGCGGGGAACCCGGGGGTGAGGGGGAACATAATAATTGATATCATTCCGGAATTACGAAAACCGGTTCATTATTCCCGAAACATTGCAATCCCCAGTCAATACTCCCGGAACATTATGAATCCAGGTTAATATGTTTTTGGGGTCGACATCCCCAGAACATTATAAACCAGGGTTTATAATGTTCTGGGGGGAACGTTATGAACCCCAGTCAATATTCCCAGAACGTTGAAACCCAAGTTCATAATGTTCCGGGGGGGGGACATGATGAACCTGGTCAATAATCCTGGAACATTATAAGCCCCGGTTAATATCTATTTGGGATCCATCCTGCAACCCTGAGACCCCAGGACGTCCATTGATAGTTTTGGCGTGAGAGCGCCACGCTTTCCATAGCGAAACCAGCGGAATCCAAGAAACCCAGGGCACCCTGGAGGCAAGCAGGGTGTTTCTTGGCATGGGCCTCCATTGCGTGCTAAGGACGCACGGCAAGGACGCAGGGGCCTTGGAGGGCCATCTCTGTCGACACTTTACGAGCGGGGCGCGGCCAGTCAAAGCAGCCAAGGATGGGCCGAAGGGGAAGGATGCAAGGGTACTCTTGCAAAGTCGCTCGTCCTTGCTGTGGGGGTTGACTGTGCACGCCAGTCGGAAGAAGTGCGCAGAAGAAGGCGTTGGAAATAGATCGGGCTTCCGCCCGCCCCCCGAGCAAAGGAAGGGGAAACACGCTCGATACCAGAAGTAGGGAGGCGCTTAAAGTAGACGGGAAGCTGGGAGTCCCAGAATTGCTGCTCCCAACGACCGGCGTGTTCCCGCCTCGGCGGCGCCGTGCAGAGCCCCTCGCGCGCGCGCCCGCTCGAGACTGCGAGGCGGCGCCGACGAGCGGGGTCGACGATCGAGGCTCCAGGCCTCCTTCCGCACCTTTGGCCTCCACCCTGAATGTGGGCGAGCAGCCGCCGCCAAGGCTGTGCAGTCCGCCAGTGTCCTCATCCCCTCCTCCTCGCCTTCGTCGCGCCAGCGGCCCCCGCCCAGAGGCGGAGGAGCAACTTCGGGCCCGCGCTCGGGCTGGACGAGATCGTCCGCACCGAGGAGTCCGAGGCTCCGGCGCTCCTGGAAACACCTCCTCCACCTCCTGCTCCTGCTCCTGCCCCTGCTCCTGCTCCTCCTGCTCCTCCTGCTCCTCCTCCTCCTCCTCCTCCTCCTCCTCCTCCTCCTCCTCCTCCTCCTCCTCCTCCTCCTCCTCCTCCTCCTCCTCCCCCTCCTCCTCCCCCTCCTCCGCCTGCTCTGCATCCCCAACTTTCCCCCGTTCCCTCACCATCCGCACCGTCTCCCCCACTCGTCAACTACACCCAAGGAGTGACCCTGGGCAAGAGCCTCGCGACCCTCGGTGCGTGGACGGAGGGGGCGCATGGTGGCCCAAGCCGAGCGCGCAAGCAGCCGCTGTCGCGTCGCGCTCCGCGATCGGGGGGACTCCGATGAGCCCGTAGCAAAGGTCACTCCAGCGAAGGGTCACTCTTACGTGTAGCCGAACCAGAGGGGCGCCACACCTGGAGGGCAGTGCCTGCTGGGAGCTGGGAGCCCGTGGAGCGGTGGCGCCTCTCGGCCGCACGGGGCAGCCCCCGAGGGAGCGCTGACCTGCATGGGGCGGCCCCTCCCTGTGCCCCTCCCCCTATCCATCTCTCTCGTCCGGCCCCTCCCTCCATCCCCCTCCCTTCATCCCCGGTCCCAGCCTCCTCCCTTCCTCCCACATCTCCCCATGGCACCCCCTGGCCCCCTCGCCAATCACGCGCCCCTCCTGCCGCTCTCCCGACAGCGCCGCCCCCAAAAGCCGGAGGGGGCGGCGACGCCGCCGACGACGACCAGGACGACGGCGACGACGAGGAGGACGAGGATCAGTTCTGTTTGCGTGTCCGCTTTTGCTCCTCTCAGTGGCCTCTGCCTCCAGGGCCTTCCGCGGCAGGCCTCCAGGGAGGCCCGCAGGCCAGGCACCGCCTCGGGGACGGCCGCGGCGGCGGCTCGGCGCTGCCGCGGCGCCGAGCCCGCAGCGAGCGCCACGTCGAAGCCCACCGCAGCGGCGGCGGGGCTGGCGGCGAAGGCGGCGGCGACGTCGATGGCGGTGGCGACGGCGGCGAAGGCAGCGGCGGCTGCGTCGGGCGAGCGCGGCGGCGGCGGCTGCCGCGGAGGCGCTGGGCCCGCGGCGAGCACCACGTCGAAGCTCTCCGCGGCGGCCGCGAGCTCGGCCGACAGCACCGCAAGGTCGCGGGCCGCGGCCTCCGAGCCTCGGCGTCTCCTCGCTCTCCCCGTCGATCGCCGCCGATCGTCGCTCGCTGGCCGTTGCTGAGGTCGGTCGCCACTGCCGCCGACCGTCGTCGTGGGCCGTCGGCCGCAGGTCGCGCCGTCGGTCGTCGTCGCCGTCCGTCGTCGCTGTCGTCGATCGTCGCCGGCGCCGCCGTCGCCGCCGTCGTCGTGGGGCTCGGCGTCGTCACCAGCGTCGTTCGACCACAAGACAAAGTGACCCCAGGCCGTAGTGACCCGTAGTACGCAGCCAAAGAAAGGCGCGGGTGTGTGGGGGGGGGGGGGGCAAACCCGCGTGCGCAAGCCGCTGCTGCCGCACCACATTCGGCCATCCTCGTGGGTTAGCGTCGCCGCCGCCACCACCGGACCGGGAGGCTCGTCGCCGTCGCACGGGGGCCCACGGTGTGCCGCTGGCGCCGCCCTCGAGGCCGCCGCCCGGCGTCGCCGGCGGCATCCTGTCGCCACGCACTGCGTACTGTTTGGTCCTGCCTCGCCCCCTGCACACCTACCCCTCGCGGCCCCCCGCGAGTGGGCGGATCCCGGCCCCCACGCCACGCGGTCTGGGCCCGCGGCGCGCGCCTCTCCGCCCGACTCTCTTCGCCGCGGAGCCGCGCGCGTGGCCGCGACACCGAAGTGACGCCAGCGTCGCCGCCGCCGCCGCCGCCGTCCGCCGTCGCCGTCGTCGTCGTCGTCGTCGTCGTCGTCGTCGTCGTCGTCGTCGTCGTCGTCGTCGTCGTCGTCGCCGTCGCCGTCGCCGTCGCCGTCGCCGTCGCCGTCCCCGTCGCCGTCGCCG